TTTTTATTGGGTATTTTGATAGAGATAAAGGGAGAGAAAGATAGAAACTTCTGAGGGAGAAACATCCATACTGCCTCCTGCATGCCCCCTACTGGGGATTGAGGCTTCAACCTGGCATGTGCCCTAACCAGGAATTGAACCAGAACGGCTCAGTCCATGGGACAACACTCCACCACTGAGCCACACTGGCTGGGCTCCAATGTGTATTTTTAAGTAGGCCATTCCTGTACTCTGAGTGATTATGATTAGTAACAATTTGCTTATTCTAGCTTGCAGTTGATTTCACACTGAGAACAAGACCTGTTGATAGTCCCGGTGAATGCCTATAAAGAGATGGCAACATTTTCAGAATTCACTTCATACTCTCTCTTCATGGTTCTGATTCACTGAATGGATTAAGTTATTCAAGAATATTCTTCAGCCCAGCTAGTGTGGCTCACTGGTTGAGTGCCGACCTATGCATCAAAAGGTCACGGGTTCAATTCTTGGTCAGGGCACATGCCCAGGTTGTGGGCCCAATCCCCAAGGGGAGGCATGCAGGAAGCAGGCAGTCAATGTTCTCTCTCATCAATGTTTCTATTTCTCCCTCTCCCTTCCCCTTTCTCTAAAATCAATAAAGAAATATATATTTTTTTTAAAAAAGAACATTCTTTAGATCTTATTGGCACCTCAAGAACTTTATGAATCAAAGAAATAACTCACTAATTAGTTATAAAATAACTTCTATTCCATTTCAGAAACTGTCTTATTTTCTTGATAGACATACAAGCATGTACCAGTAAAAGAACAAAAAAAATCTGTCATTTTACACACATGTAGGTGAACTTTGAAGAGTCAATTATTATTCTGTCTAAAACAATATCACATACATTGTGACTTTTTAAAGACAACATCTTTGTAAATGGAATGAGCATATAGTTTCTATAACATTACAGAAAATAAAATATAGTATACATTTAACTTAAAAATATAAAAAAGTGACATATGTTTTATTATTATTGAATTCAGTCAGTAATAATGATAATTATTACAGTAAATAACAACTTCAGTTTTAGATTCTATAATGAATTCCCATGGCACAATTATATATGGTGGATGTTATCATCCTTAATTTCAATTAAAAATACAAAGACCAGAAAGATGAAAACAACTTGATTAACTTCACACAAAGGTACATTAATAGAGGACATTACCATGCTCAGATCACATTCTACTGCTAGAAAGTCTAATTTAGAGTTAATTATATATTTGTATTTGTTCATTTACTCTTTCAATCTAATTTTTTAAACACTGCTGAGCAAAATAGTGTCCATATCAGTTTGGGCTGCTGTGACAATTTGCCTTAGAAAGGGCAGCTTAAACAAACAAACAAAAATATCTCTCTCAGTCCTGGAGGCTGGGAAGTCCAAGATCAAGGTACAGAGGATCCAGTGTTTGGTGACGACCCTACTCCTGGTTCCCAGACAGCCTTCTTCACATTGTACCCTCACATGGTGAAAAGCTGGGGGTGCCAACTCTCTTCCTCTTATGAGAGTATTAATCCCATCATGAGGCTCCACTCTCAAGACCTAATTTGGGAAAATGTTTAGTTCATAGCATACGGTATAAGCAGTGGTGTGCCAGTAAATGTTTAAAAACTGACTTAAAAATATAAGTATGTGTGCATATCCTTTTATTTTTAATTTTACTAATTAAAAATGTATATTTATATTCATCAGGGATTTTTGCCTATAATTTACTTTTTTTGTAGTGTCTTTGTCTGATTTTGGAATTAGGATAAAGCTGGTCTTGTAAAAAGTGCTTGGAAGTCTTCCTTCCTCTTGAAATTTTTGGAATAGTTTGAGGAGAATGGGTGATAATTCTTTTTTGAATGTTTTCTCGAGGTTTTTTTTTTTGTAATTGTTGCTTAAATTTTATTAGTTGTTATTGGTCTATTCAGGTTTTCTACTTCTTCCTGATTGAGTTTTGGAAAATTCTGTTTCTAGGAATTTGTCTGTTTCTCCAAGTTTGTTCAATTTGTTAGCATATCATTGTTTATAGTATTTTCTTACAGTCCTTTGTTTTTCTGTGGTGTCAGTAGTTACTTCACCTCTTTCATTTCTGATTTTATTTATTTAGGTCCTCTCTCTTTGTTTCATATATTATGATGAAGTGGGATTAATTCTGGGGATGCAAGGCTGGTACAATATTCACAAAACAAAAAATAGGATACATCATTTAAACAAAGTGTATGATAAAAATCACATGATCATTTGAATGGACTCAGAAAAAGCATTCAACAAAATTCAGCACACATTTTTAGTAAATACTCTCAGAAATGTGGAAATAGAGGAACAATACCTTAATGTAATACAGGCCATATACAAAAAATCTACCGCCAATATCATACTCAATAGGCAAAAACTAAAAGCATTTGCCTTAAGAACAGGAACAAGACAGGGATGTCTACTGTTACCACTCTTATTCAACATAGTACTGGAAGTTCTAGCCACAGTGATCAAACAAGAAGAAAAAATAAAAGTCATAAAAATTGGAAAGGAGGAAGTAAAACTGTCCCCTTATTCACCATTATTCACATGATATTGTACATAAAAAACCTTATAGAATACTCCCAAAACTACTAGAGTTGATAAATGAATTCAGTAATGTCACAGGATATAAAATTAACATCCAGAAATTTATGGCATTTTTACAAACCAATAATGATCTCGCTGAAGGAGAAACTTAAAAAACAACCCATTTTACCATTGAAACAAACAAACAAAAAGATATCTAGGAATAAACTTGACCAAGGAGGGAAAACACCTGTACTTGAAAAACTACAAAACATTCTAAAATGACATAGAAAAACACACAAACCAATGGAAGCTTATACCATGTTAATGAATTAGAAGAATCAACATAATTAAAATGTTCATACTACCCAAAGAAATCTACAGATTCAATGCAATCCTGTTAAAATATCAGTGGCATATTTCCCAGATCTAGAACAAATACGCAAAAATGTATATGGAACAAAAAAAGACCCTGAATAGCCACAACAATCTTAAAAAAAAAAAAAAAAGTAGGAGGGATCACAATACCAGATTTCAGGTTATACTACAAAGCCACTGTTATCAAAACAGCCTGGCATTGGCACAAAAGCAGACACGTAGATCAATGGAACAGATCAAAGAACCCAGAAATGGACTCAACCCATTGTGCTCAATTAATATTTGACAAAGGAGACAAGAGCATACAATGGAGTAAAAACAGTCTCTTCAATAAATGGTGTTGGGAAAATTGTTCAGCTACATGTGAAAAAAAAAAAGAAAAGAAAAGAAACTAGACCACCAACTTATACCTTAAACTCATAATGGATAAAAGACTTAAATGTAACCATAAAAATCCTAGAAGGAAATGTAGGCAGCAAAATCTCAGACATCTCACCTAGAAGAATTTCACTGATACATAGCCCTAGGGCAAGAGAAACAAAGGAAAAAGTAAACAAATGAGGCTGCATCAAATTGAAAAGCTTCTGCACAGCGAAAGAAACCAAAATGAAAATAAAAAGGGAACCCATTGCATGGGAGAACATATTTGCCAATAATACATCTGAAAGAAGGTTAATTTCCAAAGTATATAAAGTAGTCATACAACTCAATAAGAGGAAGAAAAAGAATCCAATTAAAAAATGGGCAAAGGACATGAATAGACACTTCTCTAAACAGGACCTACAAAGGCCAAGAGACATATGAAAAAAAGCTCCACGTCACTAATTATCAGAGAGATGCAAATTAAAACCACAATGAGTTACCACCTCATACCTGTCAGAATGGCTGCCATAAATAAATCAACAAACAAATGCTGGCAAGGTTGTGGATAAAATGGAACTCTAGTGCACTGCTGGTGGGATTGTGACTGGTACAGCCACTGTGGAAAACAATGTGTAGTTTCCTCAAATAATTAAAAATTTCCAGACTTTGTAATTTTGCTGCTGGGAATATATCCTAAGAATCTGGAAACACCAATAAGAAATAATATATACTGCTATGTTCATAGCAGTGTTATTTATAATAGCAAAGATCTGGAAACAGCCCAAGAGCCCATCAGTAGATGAATGGATAAAAAAGCTGTGGTATATTTACACAATGGAATATTATGCAGCTGTAAAACAGAAGGATCTCTTTCCCTTTGAGACAGCATGAATAGATTTAGAGATTATTATGCTAAGGAAAATAAACCAGGCAGAGAAAGACAAATATCACATGACCTCACTTATATGTAGACTCTAATGGATAAAATAAACTCATGAATAAAATAGAACCAGAAACATGGAAATATGGAATAGACTGACAAATCTCAGATGAAATGGGTAGGGATGGGGGGCCAGGAAGAGATTAAATAAAGAATTTATATGCATATAAGCACTGCTCATGGACACAGACAATAGTGTGGTGAAGGTCACAGGCCACCTATAGTTGTGGGCCACTGACCCACAAGTATAGTCTAATGTGAACATTGATTGATATTTTCAGATTTGAAGCCATTAATATTATGACTTATGGAGTTTGGACAAGATACTCAGTAATATTTCTACCAGACACACAGGATAGACATAAGTAACCTCAAGAACAGACATAATAGTAAGATGTGGCAATATAATTAGGAAGTGATGAGATGATTTCTGAATATTTGTTTTAGATATTACTTATTTCATTACAGGTTTATGTAATTGAATTTCTTACTAATAACTATGTATAACAATTGGTTCACAAGATTCCTAATAATTTAATGGTTGGCTCCTGTGTGTTGGTATGAGTTCTGGCAAGGAAAAGTTTTCATTGAATCAAAATACCTTGTTTCTGCAATGTCTCCTATTCAACACAGTAGGATTTCAGAGCTCTGACTATGTCAGGGCACCTAATTAACAAGGAAAGGAGATGTCAAAATAAATGGTGTCGGGATTGGGCAAAGTTCTTCCTTTAAAATTTACTTTTATTTTTGTGGTTTATTCACAGGCATTTCCCTGCATTTCAACAGGCATTTATGGTAAGTGATCTAGATTTTGATACTATTTGTATTTCTTTATTTTGCTGTTGAAGGCAATACTAACAGGAAAAATAAGCGATTTTCAAGGGATATAGTTTGCTGTGACTTAAAGAGATTAAAAGTCAAGGTCAAATCTCACTGAGGAATCTCAAGAGGCTATTTACATATTCTTTTGTGATCTTGAACATTGTATTAGATACCATGTATAAGGATTAGATACACTTTGGCTTAATGTCTTTTGTTAAACTAAAAATTTTGCTCTAGTAGTATTTGACCTCTGATAATGTCTTTTTTAAAAACAAAATCATCAGATTATGGTGGGCAGGACCAAAGGAAGGGTGAGTGCATGAGAAAGTGTGCTAGTGTGTGAGAATGTGAGTGGATGTGAAGGTGGACGACTAAACTAGTGCAGCACAGAGACACAGAGCAGAAGGTTCCTGTGCTGTGTACAGGAGCAGCTGGCTACTGCAGTAAGTGCCTCTTCAGAGCACTTCTCCCTGGGCCATGAGGAGGTCCCCCCATTTGAAAGATCCTGGGTCTTCCCTGGGAGGAGGCAGTGGTTAGCGGCTAGGGCCCAGCAACCTGAGCTCACCAGTGCACTTGGTACCACTGGACCAGTGGACACCCTGTGTCAACACAGACCAGTGCATAGTAGAGCTGTCAAGGTGCTGGTTGCAGGAACCGAAAATGGCCAGGAGCCCAGCACCATCCCCAAAGCAGTAGCCTGATCAGAGTCGAGATATACACCCAGCAACAGAGGCTGGGGAGCAGACATCCATCTCCAGGCAACAGAAGCACAGACCAGTAGCAGAGAACCATCCCCAAAAACTACAACAAAGGATGAGCAGGAGCTGAGCCCCATTGGGCAGCAGAACTCCCCAGCCACCAGTGGCAGGACCTGGGGCTCCTTTGGGGCCTGTGCTACACAGCTGCCCACAAGAGCAGTGGAGAGCTGGGATCTATAGTGGCCTGTGTGACCTAGCAGCCCACAAGACCAATGCAGACCTGGGGATCCAGAGGGACCTGTGAGACCCAGCGGCCCACAAGAGTGGTGTGGAGCCAGGGTTCCAGATGCACCTGTGTGACCCAGTGGTTTACAGGATAGATTTGGAGCTGGGTTCCCAGAGGGGACTGTGCAACCAGCTCCCCACAGGATCAGTGGGAAGTGGATAAAAAATTCAAAGCAATTGTTTTAAGTGTGCTCAAACAATTTGGTGAGAACTACAAGCAACATAATAAGATTTATGAAGAGCTCACTGGGAACTACATCAGCTTAAAAAAAGAGATAGAAGCTATGCATAAGGAGTTGGAAGCTATGCATAAAATTCAAAAGGAAATAAAGAATGACATAGCTGTTATGAAAAATACCTTAGAAGGGTTCAATAGTAGATTAGAAGAAGCTGAAGGCCAAATTAGCTACTTAGAAGACAAGGTAGAGAAAAACACCCAAATAGAGCAGCAAATGGAAAAAAAAAATGTTTTAAAAGCAGGAGAATTTAAGGGAGCTGTGGGACAATACAAATGTAACAACATTCGCATTATAGGGATACTGGAAGGAGAAGAATATGAGAAAGGAATAGAGAACCTGTTTGAAGAAATAATGACAGAAAACTTCCATAACTGGTGAAGGAAAAAGTCACACAAGTCCAGGAAACACAGACAGTCCCAAGCAAGATGAACCCCAGAAGACCCACAGCTAGACACATCATAATAAAAATGGCAAATATTTAAGAAAAAGAAAGAATCTTAAATAAAGGAAGAGAGAGACAGGAAGTTACCTACAAGGGAGCTCCCATTAGACTGTCAGCTGATTTCTCAATGGAAACGCTGCAGGCCAGAAGGATGTGGCATGAAGTGTACAAAGTAATGCAAGGCAAGGGTGAATTTACCACCACCAAACCAGCACTGCAATAAATGCTGAAAGGACTGTTGTAAGAAGAAGAAGAAACAGAGAGAGAGAGAGAGAGAGAGAGAGAGAGAGAGAGAGAGAGAGAGAAACATAGGTATAAAATTAAAATGACAATTAATAACTGTCTATCAATAATTACCTTAAATGTAAATGGCTTGAATGCTCCAATCAAAAGACATAGGGTAGCTGATTGGCTAAGAAAACATGACCCATAAATATGCTGTCTACAAGAGACTCACATCACAACAAATAACTCACAAAGAATAAAAGTGAAGGGATGGAAAAAATGTTTCGAAGCAAATGGAAATTTAAAAAAAAGCTGGTACAGCAATACTCATATCTGACAAGATAGACTTCAAAACAAGGGCCATAATAAGAGACCGAGAAGGTCACTACATAATATTATAAGGTTCAAGTCCACAAGAGGATATAACCTTGTTAAACATATATGCACCACATATAGGAGCACCAAAATATATTTAAAAACTTCTGGAGGAATTCAAGAGAAAGATCAATAGCAATACAATCATAGTGGGTGACTTTAACACACCACTGACACTACTGGATAGATCTTCTAGACAAAAAATTAACAAGGACATAGAGTCCTTACAATACGAACTAGATCAGTTGGACTTCATTAATAGTTACTGAACATTTTACCCCAAAACTGCAGAATATACATTTTTCTCAAGTACACATGGGTCATTCTTAAAGATAGACCACATGTTAGACACAAAGCAAATCCCTACAAATTTGAGAAGATTGAAATCATATCAAGCATCTTCTCAGATCACAGTAGCATGAAACTAGAAGTCAATTACAATAAAAACACAAAAAAACATTCAAACAGTTGGAGGCTAAATAGCATGTTATTAAACAATGAATGGGTTACCAATGAAATCAAGGAAGAAATTAAAAACTTTCTGGAGATCAATAAAAACAAACATACAACACAAAATCTATGGGGTGCAGAGAAAGCGGACCTGAGAGGGAAGTTCATAGCAATACAGGCCTACCTCAAGAAACAAGAAAAACTCCTAATTGACTTTCTAACCTACCACTATAAGAACTAGAAAGTAAACAAAAAGAAAAACCCAGATTAGTATGAGGAAGGAAATAGTAAAAATCAGAGCAGAAATAAACAACAAAGACACTAAAAAAACAATCCAAAACCAATGAAACAAAGAGCAGGTTCTTTGAAGAGATAAACAAGATCAATGGACCTTTAGCCAGACTCACCAAGAAACAAAGAGAGAGAAACCAAATAAAGAAAATCAGAAATAAAAGAGGAGAAGTAACAACACCACAGAAATACAAAGGATCATCAAAACATACTATGAACAATTATACCCCAACAGGTTGGACAATCTAGGAGAAATGGACAAATTCCTAGAAACACACAGCCTCCCAAAACTGAACCAGGAAGAGATAGAAAATTTGAACAGACCAATAACAACAAATTGAAGATGTAATTAAGAAACTCCTAGCAAACAAAAACCCAGGCCCGGATAGCTTCACAGGGGAGTTTTACCGAACATTCAAGAAGATCTAATACCCATTCTTCTCAAACTATTTCAAAAAATATAAGAAGATGTAACACATCCAAACTCATTTTATGAGGCCAGCATAATTCTAATTTCAAAACCAGCTAATGACACAACAAAGAAAGAAAACTACAGGCCAATATCCCTTGTGGGCACAGGTGCCAAAAATATTAACAAAATATTAGAAAATTGGATTCAGTAATACATCAAAAAATTATTCATTATGACCAAGTGGGATTCATCCCAGGGAGGCAAAGATGATACAATATTCACAAATCAATAAATGTTATACACACATAAACAAAATGGAAGATAAAAACTATATGATCATATCAATAGATATTGAAAACTCATTTCACAAAATTCAGCACCCATTTCTGATAAAAATTCTCAACAATGTGGGAATAGAGGGATCATATTTCAACATAATAAAAGCCATATATGAAAAATCTACAGCCAAAATCATACTCAATGGGAAAAATCTAAAAACATCCCCTTTAAGAGCAGGAACAAGACAAGGATGCCCACTTTCACCACTCTTATTCAACATAGTACTGGAAGTCTTAGCCACAGCAATCAGACATGAAGAAAAATAAAAGGGATCCAAATTAGAAAGGAAGAAGTGAAACTCTCATTATTTTCAGATGGCATGCTATTGTACATAGAAAACCCTAAAGACTCCATCAAAATTTACTAGAATTAATAAATGAATTTGGCAAAGTAGCAGGATACAAAATTAAAGCCAAGAAATTGATGGCATTCTTATACACCAATGATGAACTCATAGAAAGAGAAACTAAAAAAATAATCCCATTTGCCATCCCAGCAAAAAATTTAAGATACCTAGGAATAAATTTAACCAAAGAGGTGAAGGACCTCTTCACAAAAAACTAGGTCATTGAAAAAAAAAAAAAAAATAGAGGAAGATATAAAAAAGTGGAAGCACATACCTTGTTCATGGATTGGAAGAATTAACATCATTAAAATGTCCATACTACCCCCAAACAATCTATAGATTTAATGCAATCCCCATCAAAATACCAATGACAAATTTCACAGACCTGGAACAAGCACTCCAAAATTTATATGGAACCAAAAAGACCCTGAATAGCCACAGCAATCTTGGGGGAAAAAAAAAAAAAAAGTAGGAGGCATTATATTACCAGATATCAGGTTATACTACAAAGCCACTGTAATCAAAACAGCCTGGTAGTGGCACAAGAACAAACAGATCAATGGAACAGAACAGAGAACCCAGAAATTGACCCAAGACAATATGCTTAATTAATATTTGACAAAGGTGGCAAGAGCATACAGTGGAGTCAAGACAGTCTCTTCGATAAATGGTGTTGGGCAAATTGGACAGCTACATGCAAAAAAATCAAGCTAGACCACCAACTTACACCATACACAAGAATAAATTCAAAATAGATAAAAGATTTAAATGTAACTCATGAATCCATAAAAATCCTGGAAGAAAATGTAGGCAAAAAATTTCAGATCATACGCAGCAGAATTTTCACTGATGCAACACCTAAGGCAAGAGA